TGGCGAAGAGCTGCCCCTCGCTTCACAGATATAAATTGGTAAAGCAGGCAGATTAGAGGGAGCCTCCTTTTTTATATACGTTAAACACTTGATATGGATTCAGCTATTTACTTCCCACTGTCGAAACTTCTTTGGTGGTGTAGCGAGGAAAGGAAAAGGTCGTGCAAATGTATGCAATATTTAAGGAGTTGGGGTGTTTTGTTGGTTTGAGTTTTTTGTTTGTTGGTTTTTGATTTTTTTTCTTTTTTTTTTGAGCACCAGCATATTTTGCTGTTTGTTTTCAAAACGGGAACAAGCACAAAGTACCTAGGTGCTCGCGGCTCTCAGTCTCAAAATTATGATTCCTTGGTTTGAGGAATATATAATCTCTTCCCTATGAGGAAATGTGCACATGAGGAAGTACTGGTGGCTTAAATTAAATATGAGCGACGAAAGAGCAAACAGAATGCCACCAACGGCATCATGAGCAGTATCTGTCACCAAGTCGCACAATATTGGCACTATCTCGAGTTTAATTTCTTGATTTAGAAACAGCTTAAGGGAGAGAAGGGCGTTGTTTGTGAGCGAGCTTGTTTCCCAGCGCGAACAGCAGCCACGCTCCTTTCCCAGTACCGTTTGAAGGTGAAAGTATGCCCAAGTATTTGCACTTCAATTTGAAGTCATGTTCATTTGCAAGCTATTTGCAGTTCTGCTCAGTATATCTGCTCACACGGGCTTTCCCGCACACATGCCCTTCCTCAGCTTCCAGCGCAGAGCCCTGCTAATACCATTTTTCAGCTATGTACAGAAAGGGTTAAGAGTCGTGAACGTCATTAGCTGGATGTGTGCTACTAAAATGGAATTGCGCGAAATAAAACGATCTCTGAGCAAACAGAAAAGGTGCAGGGTGACAAAAGTGGGTCTGAAGAGGCTGGGGTACTTTTTGCAAGCACGCCTGGGAGCGTTTCTGCTCAAAAAAGCCAACCTCGCCAGATGTTGGGAATATTTTGAAGGAATATCTTTTCCGTCCACGGTCTTCTGAAAGCTGTTGAGCCGACCGAAAACCGAGCTCTTTAACATTTACTTATACCCATCTTTGCATTTATTATTGAGGGGTTTTGTTGGGGGTTTTTTTCCCTTTTTTTTTTTTTTTTTTTTTTTTTCAGCTAGCAAGGACACGAAATCAAAGTGTGCACATTGTAAGCACGCAGTGAGTGGTATTTTTTAAATCAACGTGTGGACATCAAATAAAATGACACACATATTCCTGACAGTTTGAAGTAGAAAGATATTTTTATCACTTACCATTTACGAGTTGTACGAGTTGATTGGATAAGGATGTCCAGTTTAGGTCATAATATTTTACAA